ATCAGAAGATTCCAGGTTCGAATCCTGGCAAGCTCGAATCTATTTTTGTTTTATTTTAAATGTATTTTTTATTTTATTTTAATGTCCCTTAATACTTTATGGATAATAACACAATATTACATTACCCATTTATTATGGTCTTTCACTAAGCTACTTATTATATCGACATTTGAACAGAGACTTAGGAACTAATGGCAGATTTAAAGGAAGATAGTGTAGCACTTTATGCCAAGTTAGGAGGGTGAGAGTTCCACTGAGGGATTGTTCTTGGAATTTACAGGAAATAGTTTGGAATGAAAGGTGATGACAGTGTCGTGAAGGAACGAACAGAGATAAGGTTGTCGGCTGTTTTATATAGAGTAGTGAGGCGGGCGTCACGGCGATGAGTTGCCAAGCTCTGCCACTGTAGGCCATTGATCATGGCTCCCACACTGGAGGTATTTCTGTGGCTATTAGTGACAAAGAGGGCAGCTCGTCGCTGGACCTTCTCAATTTGGTCTATATCCTTCTTCAGGTATGGATCCCAGACCACACTAGCATATTCAAGCTTAGGCCTCACTAGAGCTGTGTAGGCTTTTTCCTTGACCTTTGAAGAGGAAATAATTGTACCATCTGCAGAGAGGCGTACAGTTGAGTTAATACCGTCTACATATAAAGCCGTAGTATGTACGTCTCTGATGATGCAAAACGTATTTCACAAAACGATGTGACTTTTGTGTAGCTGTTTTATGTGGGTGTACACATTTGTACTGTTCATGTATATGTTTAAGTAAATAAAAGTGCAATCGATATATCATGCATTTACATAAAGCGTGTTATCGATTTCGTGTGATACACACTTACGGCATTGATGGTATAGATTCTACCATCAATTACAGGGTTATATTTATACCGAAATTTGCTAGTACTTTTGATGGGAAATATTAAATACTTCTTTTTTATTTCTATTTTTCTTATTTCGTTTTACAAATGATCATGGTTACGTACAGTTACGCTCATTTACATTCTCTGCACACCTGGAATATGTCAGGACAAAATTGACGACTCAGTGTGCAGCACCTTGTGGATGAGACAAGAAAACTAGTTTGATCATTTTATTTGCATCAAAAGAATCTTGCGGCAGCGTAACGGTAGGTGGCCGACTTTGAAGTCGGGTGTCGCTCCTCTGTAATTTTTCAAAGGACAGTATCAGCCTAGCGATTGGTAAGGTATTGCACCGTAGGCCTATCAAATAGCTTCAATTTTGCTGTTACGATATTCAAGGGGTGCAAATAGCGTAAGTGAGCGAGTATCGAGGATGGTACAATATATGTACAGGCATTTAATTTCATCCTTCATCTTCATTACTAGTTATTCTTTATGAATTTATCTAAATAAACCTTTTAAGGATCATGAAAACTTAAGTGTTTTATCACACAGAACAGTGTGCCGCTTGTTTTATACCAGATTTACATACTAGTATAGGTTTGATTGTTTATGATTTTATTAACACCCCCTCGCCGGACACTCGTAATGTTCGACAATTGCTAGAGGCAACGAGGGTCGACGATCCCATATAATATGAAAAATGACTCCAACACACCTCTATATCTAAATCTACTCTAACAATGTAAGAAGTTTACCACGGCGAGATACTTTTGACAAGCGCGAGTCCGCATTAACATCTGATAAAATAGCAGACCAGCGGCCTTACACTTCAGGGGTACTCTATACCGTCCTCATTACATGTCGTTATTATATAGTTTATACTACATCTTTTATTTACATTTTGAAATAATTTATATCAACGCATTTATAAACGACTGATTTCGGAGTTCTGCACAAAAGACTCGATCAAACTTGGTTCCACCATACAACATTTATCAGAAGGATTGTGGTTCAAATAAGACTCCCGTAACATCCGGGGACTCGTTCTTAGAACAGGAGCCTGTATGTATGGACCATTGGTAATGGCATTATTAGAAGATGGATTTAAACATCATCTTTCAGGCCCATGTTGTGGATCTTGAAACAGATTGCCGAAAAGAATATTCTCGACATTTAAGGGATGGTGTGTCAACATCTAGAGAATGTGTTGACTGAGAGTAATACATTTTCACCGTGTTCAACACTAAATATAACGGAACATATACATTGAAAAACTATAAAACACGTTTAGTGAATTTTGTTCAATATTTATACTATCCATTTGTCCTCATGTCCGCAACATAATTTCCCGCAATCCGGTTCCAATCTTTGTGAACATACATTCTCGTATTGTGCTAGACTGAAATAAATTTTCTGTTCAAAGTAGCACGGATCTTATACATCGATCATCTCTGCACGATTCTCAAACGACATCATGCACGCTAGTACATTAGACATATGTGTTCCCCAACCAGTGATGGTTGGTTTTCATGTCTCGAGTTATTCAATTAAAGCACGGACTTAGATAATCTAATTCCGTGATTAAAGGCACAAGGTTTACCGAATTCTTATAGGAACTTAAGTAACTAGGCAGTAGCTGTTAGTTTTCACACATAACTTCAATCATTTAAATCCCAATATTTCAGTTTCACAGCCGACTAAAGTGTAGGTTTGGTCTAGTAGTTTCAGCTTTTGCCTGAAATATGCTGCTTATAATGTTAGTCAACCATAATCAGATGGTGGGCTATTCAAATCACTGTGTCAATTCTTAAACGATTCTTGTTTTTTCATATCGTATTGGTACTGGAGGGATTCTCAAATTTCATATGCAAGTTCTCCTTGGTCCCTAGTTGTGCATGGTTATTTTTGAGACCGATTAGATAAACAAAATGGCCGATAGCCGGCCGTCTTAGATTTTTACCCTAAAAAGTACTAGAGGGATCTTTCCTAAATTTAATAGGTAGGTACCTCTTGCATGTTTGCTTTTGAAATTGATTGGAAAAACAGAATGGCCGATCGACTGACATATTGGATTTTGACAGTAAATGTTTGTTATTGCTTTTTCTTCGAAAGTAATGGAGGGAACTTTTTAAATTCATTTGGTTGTTTACTTTTGAAACTTATAGAAACAAGAGGCCCAGAGGGCCTATCGCTCACCTGGAAATCAAAGTAATCATGGCAAAATATTCTCCAAATAAGATCCAAAGGAATGGGCAAGACCCCAAGGACAATCCTTGTATCCTATCTGTATCAGATTTTTCATGCCCAGCAATTTTATGTATGGTTATGGGATGGGGATCTCAACTGTTTCCAAGGTGCGATTCAGAAACTATGTCCCTAGGGTTGTGGCCAGACCCGAGGATCAATTATAATATCATGACTGCATTTGTCTCTTTATGCCCAACAGTTGTATATATAGTTTTGGGATAGGGATCTTAACCGTTTCAAAGTTATGACCCAGGGGTTAAGTCTCCAAGGGTGGGGCAGACTCTGGAATCAATTCTTATAACGACTGCATTGTGCGGCGTTTCTGAAAAAGCTGTCCGACACCGACCTTCGTCTCTTTATGCCCAGCATTTGTATGTACAGTTTTGGGGTGGGGATCTCAACCGTTTCCAAGCAATAAACTATTTTTGGCCCCACCCTTCAGCCAAGGGGTCAGCCCCACTACTTGTACAATTTGAATCCCTGCCTCCCATAAATGCTTCCAACCAAATATGATGATATCCAGTGCATAGTTCTACAGAAGAAGTCATTCTAGCAATTTAGCCAAATTTCCCCCCTTTGGCCCCACCCCTCAGCCCCCTGGGGAGTCAGCCCCACCATTTGTTCAATTTGAATCCGCATTACCTAGGGATGCTTCCAGTAAAATATGGTTGATGTCCATCTTTTAGTTGTAAAGAAGTCGCTCGAAGCAATATAGCCAAATAACCTTTTGGCCCCGCCCCATCAGCCCCCTTGGGGGTCAGCCCCATCATTTGTACAATTTTGAATCGCCACTACCTAGGGATGCCTCCAGTAAATATGGTTGATTTCCATCTCTTGGTTCCAGAGGAGAAGTATAGCCAAATTGATCCCTTTTGGCCCCGCCCCTCTGTCCCCTGGGGGGTCAGCCCCACCATTTGTACAATTTTGAATTGCCACTACCTAGGGATGCTTCCAGTAAAATATGGTTGATTTCCATCTCTTAGTTCCAGAGGAGAAGTAGCTTAAAGCAATATATAACCAAATTGATCCCTTTTGGCCCCGCCTCTCAGCCCCCTGGGGAGTCAGCCCCACTTCTTGTACAATTTTTAATCTCCGCCTCCCATGAATGCTTCTGACCAAATATGATTGATATCCATTGTACAGTCCTACAGAAGTTGTTTATAGCAATATAGCCAAATTGTCCCCTTTTGGCCCCGCACCTCAGCCCCTGGGGGGGTTAACCCTACCATTTGTATAATTTTGAATCCATACCACATAGGGATGCTTTCGGTCGATTTGGTTAAATACCAATCAGTGGTTAAGAAGAAGAAGTCGTTTGAAGAAAATGTTGACATATGGACGTACGGACGCCGGACGCCACGGTATGGCATAAGCTCACCTTGATCCTATGGACCAGGTGAGCTAAAAAAGGCCGACAGGCGGCCATCTTGGATTTTTACATTTAAGTTATGCTATTCCTATTACCAGGTACTCAGAGCATACCAGAAGGATCTTTCTCAAATTTTATATGCATGTTCCCTCTTGGTCCCTTTGTAAAAACATCCCTGGCTATAAGGAGAATACCCAGGTACATCACTCATTGATGTAACACTTCTAATTATGTAAGAACTACAAACTTTTAGCATTTTACATATAGTTATGGAATTCTTATACATTAATATTTGCCAGAAATAACATATGATATGACTGGTTTAAGTTAATGTACAAGATGCCCGTTTAGGATTTCCAACATTGGACTGGATAATAACATTTGTAAGGAAAACGAAGAGCAAGAAGGTAAAAGATCATCTTTTGTAGAGACCTGATAAAGATCCTTTGATGGTCGGTGCCAAGATCCTTCTAGGATCTCTTGTTATAGTCAGATAGAAAAAACCCAGTAATTTCCTGATCCTGATTTTTTTTTATTTCCTCTTACATAAAAGTTTCATTTGTTCATTACATTCAACTTTGTTTATCCAATTGCACAGATCTAAGTATATTCCAGTTGTTTTCCTTCCCTCTAGTACTTCACTCGGTCCCAGCGCCATATTGACCCGTCGTCAGTAACAGCCAGGAGTGTGCTGCCATCTAGTGTGAATGCTGTCTGACGTATGGCTGTGATACACTTGTTGTGACTCAACACTGTACATCTGACAATTAAAATCACGCAAAAATGTTACTGCACCGAAAACAATTGTCTTAACGTTTTTTGGTGGTTTTGGAGAAAATTCATGGAAACTGTAAATGGATAAAATTTCTATCAGAAGGGCAAAAACGTTCACATGGTTTTGTTTATTTTGCATGTATTTTTCAGGTTAAGATAATAAATCCTCAGCGAAATATAATTACTATACAATACACAATTTTGAGGTCGTTAAAGTCCATCAAAAGGGCAGGAGGAGCCAAGTTCATTGTTTCTTTATCCTTCACAAGGAAATACAGTTTAATCTTACTGAATGCTGCCAATACATTTTAGATATAATGGGTGGCTTGTGTTGACATGGCAGCACAAATTCATAAAGAAAACTTACAACATATTTCTGACTGGTAATTATAATGTGTTAAATAATTTTGATGAGAATGCTAGTTAAGTGTAAAGATGAGGACGGTTACAAACTATAAAGGTTAGGAGGGTAACTATGTGTGAAGGTTAGGAGGGTTACTATGTATGAAGGTTAGGAGGGTAACTATGTGTGAAGGTTAGGAGGGTTACTATGTATGAAGGTTAGGAGGGTTACTATGTGTGAAGGTTAGGAGGGTTACTATGTGTTAAGGTTAGGAGGGTTACTATGTGTTAAGGTTAGGAGGGTAACTATGAGTGAAGGAGAGGAGGGTTACTATGTATGAAGGTTAGGAGGGTTACTATGTATGAAGGTTAGAAGGGTTACTATGTATGAAGGTTAGGAGGGTAACTATGAGTGAAGGAGAGGAGGGTTACTATGTGTGAAGGTTAGGAAGGTTACTATGTGTGAAGGTTAGGAAGGTAACTATGAGTGAAGGAGAGGAGGGTTACTATGTGTGAAGGAGAGGAGGGTTACTATGTGTAAAGGTTAGACGGGTTACTATGTGTGAAGGTTAGGAGGGTTACTATGTGTGAAGGTTAGGAGGGTAACTATGAGTGAAGGAGAGGAGGGTTACTATGTGTGAAGGTTAGGAGGGTTGCTATGTGTAAAGGTTAGGAGGGTTACTATGTGTGAAGGTTAGGAGGGTTACTATGTGTGAAGGTTAGGAGGGTTACTATGTGTGAAGGTTAGGAGGGTTACTATGTGTGAAGGTGAGGAGGGTTACGATGTGTAAAGGTGAGGAGGGTTACTATGTGTAAAGGAGAGGAGGGTTACTATGTGTGAAGGTTAGGAGGGTTACTATGTATGAAGGTTAGGAGGGTTACGATGTGTTAAGGTTAGGAGGGTTACTATGCGTGAAGGTTAGGAGGGTTACTATGTATAAAGGTTAGGAGGGTTACTATGTGTAAAGGTTAGGAGGGTTACTATGTGTTAAGATGAGGAGGGTTACTATGTGTAAAGATGAAGAGGGTTACTATGTGTGAAGGTAAGGAGGGTTACTATGTGTGAAGGTTTAGAGGGTTACTATGTGTAAAGGTTAGAAGGGTAACTATGTGTTAAGATGAGGAGGGTTACTATGTGTTAAGATGATGAGGGTTACTATGTGTTAAGATGATGAGGGTTACTTTGTGTTAAGATGAGAAGGGTTACTTATGGTAAAGATGAGGAGGGTTACTATGTGTTAAGATGAGGAGGGTTACTATGTGTAAGATGAGGAGGGTTACTGTGTGTGAAGGCGAGGAGGGTTACTATGTGAATAGATGAGGAAGGTTAATATGTGAACAGATGAGGAGGGGTACTAACTGTAAGGTGGATAAGGGTTACTGGGTGTGAAGGCGAGGAGGGTTACTATGTGAATAGATGAGGAGGGTTACTATGTGTTAAGGTGAGGAGGGTTACTATGTTTTAAGATGATGAGGGTTACTATGTTTTAAGATGATGAGGGTTACTATGTGTTAAGGTGAGGAGGGTTACTATGTGTGAAGGTGAGGAGGGTTACTATGTGTACAAATGAGGAGGGTTACTAATTGTAAAGATGAAGAGGGTTACTATGTGTGAAGGTGAGGAGGGTTACTATGTGTTAAGATGAGGAGGGTTACTATGTGTGAAGGTGAGGAGGGTTACTATGTGAACAGATGTGAAGAGTTACTGCCAGTAAAGAGAAGGAGGGTTACTTTTTTTAATGATGAGGAGGGTTACTGCCTGTAAAGGTGAGAAGATTTACAACCTCTAAAGATGAAGAGGGTTACAAAGTTTAAAGATTAGAAGGGTACTACCTGTAAAGATGAAGAGGGTTACAAAGTTTAAAGATTAGAAGGGTACTACCTGTAAAGAGGAGGAGTGTTAAAAGTGTAATGATGAGAAGATTACTAAGTATAAAGATAGAGAGGTTTACCTGGCTGCTGTAGGATCCTCGGTGTCAATATCCCACACATATATCCTTCCCACCTGGTTACCAAGGGCAATCACCTGCACACAGAAGTTATAAGGCATTGTTTAAAACATTTTAATCAATGCTGATGTGACAAAGTAGCTTGAATCAAATAGTTAGTAGCTCCTTCCTCAGTAGGGCTCTATCTCATTAAATGTGAAGATGTCTTCCAAAGGTTTTTATACTACATGTAAAGTCTGGTAACTTCATGAAGTCATTGGAGATGAGTAAGGAAAAGTTATCATATGTAGCAAATACCGGCCCTTATCATGAGTTTGAATGGACCCAAGAGTGTTCCACAACACTGCAAGTGTCCAAACATGATAATTACATCTTGAAGATTTCATGAAAAAATCTTATTATAATTTGGACAAGCATTTTACTAGTTTGACATTTTAACACTTGTCATGACCTCAACCTTACTGATATGGACTATACATGTCTATACATTTCTGGGTCTAAAATCACAAATTAAGCCCATTGTATGAGTATGAGGTTTTCATAAATTATCTAAAATTATTGTAGAATTACATTCCTGTTTTAGAATAGAATTGTTTTAACTTACATATTTGACTTTGTGCAGTGCAGAACATAGCTAATACATAAAATGTAAAAAAAAAAAAAGAGGCTAGATTTATCTAAGAATGTCAAGTAACATTAAAGTTCGTAAAAAAGTCACTGTTGCTTTCAATATATTTTAAATCTTGTATTAAGCCATCTCTCTTGAAATGTAATTACAATACAGAAATAATTCAGCTTACAATTGATTAATACAATGGATATGTTCATTGAATTACCTAGAATTATATCAGGTTCCACACTTCACCATACTATCTGGTAATTTTATTGGACAACTTTTTAGCTAATAGGGCTTTGGGGACTGGGACTGGTGGAACGTGATCCTGCTGACTTTAATGAGCTGGTCATTAATTCTGTGGCAGGGAGACACAAATTGTAGAGGTGTAGCCGACACTGTCAGCCTTATCTTACTAACCGCTGGTCAATCTTAATTGGCTAATCACCATATCAGTATGCAAATTTATGCTGTGTGGTCACTTAACACTCTAGAAGGCTATACAAGGGTAGAAGTGTTGAAACTTGACAAATTGTTTCTAACAAGGACCGCTGTTGTTATAGCTTTAATATACATGTCATTACCCCTTAGTATGCCCCCTTACACCCCAAACACACTCTCTAAAACCAGTCTCTCTACTTCCATACACACAATTACACATTATAATGATATGGGCTTCAATTTGGAATTAATTATTGAATAAAGATAATCGGAGGAAGTCGAGTCGTGGACATATTTGCTCCGGCTACGCCCCTCCCTACCAAACCAATGCCTATTTTCAGACAATTGTGTGGCTTTGCTGTGTGGGCATTCTGACAGTAACAAACATTTTGTCACTTTAAAAATGTGACATTTCCGATAAAATCAAATGCAAAAATCAGCAAGTTCTTGAGACACTTTGAAAAGACTTTGTAAAAAGTCGCAGAAGAGGCTGTGTTGTTACAATGGTATTATGACAATGAGTCGGCCAATATAGGTTCTAGTGGATTAATACTTGTGACGGATAACACTGGAAACATGGCAGGTAAGGGAACATGGACGGCATTGTTCATAGTTCTGATGACTCATGTCACTTATGGATATACATGTCATTCCGGCTGTGTCTGTGCTAATAATTTCACCGTGGTTACCTGTACAAAACTACAGATGTTGAAGGTAAACAATCTCCCTCCACACACAAAAGATCTCAGCATCACCAAAAGTAACGTGGGACCCGTGTTCAACTACTCTCTCTCCCCCTTAGTGGAGTTAGAACTCATAGACCTGTCACAGAACAGCCTCACAGAAATAGCGGGAGAAGTTTTACGCCATCTTGGACGTGTAAAAAGATTGAGTTTCCGCGGCAACCGACTACATCGTCTTTTTGATGATGTCTTCATGCACACAACTAACTTACAATTCCTGGATCTCAGTCATAACAGTTTTTCTGTTATTCCTGATGTGCCTTTCAGATTTCTTCACAATCTGAAAGTTTTGAATTTGAGTTTCAATCACCTAACAACACCTGTTCTAGGACTAAGATTCCAAGTAATGATAAATATGGAGCTTTTAGATTTTACTGGAAACAATTTCCATACAATTCCAGCAAAGACTTTTGAAATGACACAGAACTGGAATGATGCCATACAAATTACCCTGAATTTTTCTTTTTGTGGTATTCATAGTATTGAAGAAGGAGCATTTGATGATTTGAGAAAACTCAGGACACTTCTACTGACTGGAAATTCTCATTTAACTTCAGAAAATTTGACTTCAACTTTCAACTCCTCTGATTTTTCAAGCTTGGTTTCGCTGAATTTATCAAAGATGAACTTAACAGACATTGGGAATATCCTTGCAGCACTTCAGATGGCTCCACTTGCGGAGCTTTTCCTGTCTCACAACAAACTAACCAACATTCCTCATACATTATCTGACTACCACGCCAATCTCAAGGTCCTCAAAGCTCACCACAACAAGATCACAGAAATTGGAACATCTTTGACCCAAATACTGACCTTAACTCACCTTGACCTTTCATACAACAAGATTGCAAGTGTGGACTCAACATTTGGTGGAAACCTTGTCAACTTACACACTTTAATTTTGTCAAACAATACAATTGGTGATGATATGATTGTAGTAACAAGCATGGCTTCTCTAGAACATCTAGATCTCAGCAACAATCAGATTTCAGTTTTTGGAATTCCAGACTCACTTACAAATTTACAGATTCTGTTCCTCGCCGGAAACAGTATAAGTGAACTCAACCAGCTGATGGGTCTCAACAGCTTGTTAGAATTTGACATCAGTCGCAACCAACTTTCGGAACTCAAAGCTTTTCTTTTTCCAGATTCTTCAAATATACAGAGGGCAAATTTTAGCGGAAACGTTATTTCCGAGGCAAACCATCAATCTTTCCGACGAAATACCCCTATCATCATAGATATTTCGTTTAACAAACTGCAACAAATCTCAAATTTGGGATGGGAAGAAGCAGAAGAGGTTCACCTTCAGGCAAATCTCATATCGGAAATGGACAGGAACACATTTTATGGATTATATGGAGTAAAGTATCTGGACTTAAGTCATAACATGCTGACAGGTTTTGATGCAGATGGGTTTGTGTATTTAAGGAATATAACTGAACTCATTATGAACAACAACGATCTTATGGATTCCAAATCTTTACGAACCGCTTTGTCGGCTTTGTCTAAACTTGAGAAGCTTGATATCAGTCACAATAATTATACAATGTTCCCCTCAAACATGTTAAAGAAAAATAAACTCCTTCGCAGTTTAAAAGTGAATGACAATAAGGTGTTGACGTTTCAACCCGATTTATTTAATCGTTTAGCCCATCTGGTGGAAATCGACTTGTCCAACAACATTTTCCGCTGCGATTGTGCATTACTGGATTTCAGGGATTGGTTAAGGAAAACCAAGGTTTTAGTGATACATCGCTTAAATACAAGCTATATGTGTGAAGGACCATCTGACAGAAAAGGTATGTGGGTTGTCAATTACAGTGTGGGAAAGTTTGAATGCCAGCAAACCCTCTTGTACATCATCATTTTTTCGTCAGTCGGGGCTGTGCTGATGTTAGTTATCGTCATTGGAATACTTGTGTTCAAGGGTTATTACCAATGGCGAAAAAAATTGAGAAACAGTCAACGTGATTACACCATCGAATATGAATCGGTCAGCAGCCGTCCCCCAGTCTTAGAGGGGAAAAGACCAATTATACGTAACAAGCCAAATGTGTATATGAATGGTGGTCATCTATCTAAGCAAATATCTAGAGATAGTTTAGATTTCGAGGTAGAAAACTTGATGAGGAAAAGACAGAAAAAGGACAGGATGTTTAACGGTTACGTAGGAATACCACTAGTTGGACTAGCAAAGGAGAAAGACGAGACGAAAACAAAAAAGAAGAAAAAATCTAAACAAAAGGAGAAGCCCAAACAGAAAACAAGTGAAAAGTCAAAACTGACCAAAGGGAAAAAAAGACAACTTGAGAAGATTAGAGGACAGTCACAGAGAGATTTTCTTAAGGAAATAATGTTAAAGAACATGAAACGAGATGCTGCCCAGAGATATGCTCAGAAAATGAACCGCTATCATGAAGGAAGGAATGACCTCATGGTAAGTAGTATGGTGCCATATTTTTACGATAGGCATGGGGTTCGACATTCCACAGCAAACATGCTTTCAAGGAGTCGCCATCAAGACATTCAAGGTCACGGTGATGTCATCAGGGTACCCCGACCCATCCCCAGGCCACGCCCTAGACATTCCCACAGTGTCCCTGACATGTACGGCTACGTTAACTCAATACGACGTGGAAAATACCCTCTTAATCCCCAAGTCCAAGTTGTTAATCACCATGGTAACAGACATCTGAACCCAAGCTCTCAGGACCTTGCTTCCTCTAGACGACGATACAGGTCTCTAGGAAACCTTCGACCTATGGCAGAAAGTTATGGTCATGGTCAAGGTCGATCCCATCATCAGAGTGAAACAGACTTGTATCGTAACCGAGACAACATATTTTTGCCGGCACGCTATGATGATGTGAAGTATCATACTATCAGTGCAAGGTCATCAAGAGGTCAGTTTGGCAGTAGGTCAGAATGGATATAAGAAAATGGATTTATTTCACACAATTTCAATTATTTCACTTCATAACTGTAATGCATGTACTTTACAGTGCTTTAGTGTTTTGGGATTAAACTTCTGCGATTTAGTGTGTAGACGGCATATTCGCACATTTCAAACAGTACCAATTATATAGGGAATGTTGTTTGTGCTATGCACTAGTGCTTTTATGTGATAGACCCAACAGTGGAAATATATAAACCATACAGCAGAAATAAACCTAACTAACAGTGATAAACCTTACACCCAAGATGCCGGTATAACTGTGGTCACTTTTGTGATTTCCCACAAAACTAAGAAGCATGCAGCCAGTTTGACTTCCTGTCCAGCGGAAACATTGCTATTTTGTACAAATGGCTTTAGTCGTGCTCATTATAATACAAACCACATTTGACATTTCTACACGTTTTATCAAAAGCCACAAAAGATAAGTGTATCAGGCATCTATTAACGGGGCCACCAGTGAACAAAACCCGTAAGGTGGGAATAAATCAAAACGAAAAAGGTAGATGTATCTCTGTATTGCTCTCAAACTTATTATTGTCTTTAATGAAGAAAAAGTGAAATTGATATAAATTACAACCCAAGTACTGGTCACCAATGGGTGTTTGTGGTCACTAGTGTGACCAATGAAGATGCCACTTTGTGATCTGCATATATATATTTACAGTATACCAGGAATTTTTTTGGCTGCAGTTTTATTTTCCCATTTTTCTCCCTCCATAATGAGGGCGAATTTATCATAACAGCAAATAGAACTAAGCATTAGCCAAATAAACATAATTATAAATATGTGAAGGGCAAGATCAACACCGAGTGAAACATGATTTCATGGGCGCAGGGCGAAATTTTGACTGGGCGAAAATTTCCTGTATAAAAAACGTATGTGATCAATGTACATTTGCTAACATATCAAATGAGTAAGCTGGTGTACCAGATACACTATGGACCTTACTCGTATTGATCTGTATTCTAATATCTTTTCTTTATAGTGGCAGTGTTGTAATTTTGCTATAATATAAAAACAGTTTAATCATGTCATCAATATTCATTATCAATGCCGGATATTGGCCTTTAACAATTTCTGGCAGGGATTATAATTTTACAAAAATATGCTTCAAAATACAAAGTTTACACCCTTCTTAAATAGGGCTAAATCATTAGAATGACAGCAAGATACTGTGTTTACCAAGAAACGATAATTTGCTGTGAACTCAAAATACTGAATACCATGAACTAGACATACTGAATTTAGCAAAAATAACAGTGAATTGAAAAGCACTGAATACAACACCATTTACTGTGAACTGAAAGACTGAATTATGCATTAAGCATAAATGAAGATATTGAATTTAGCACCATCTTCTGAAACTTAATATAAATTTAGCACCATTTTCTGCTAACTTGATATACTGAATTAACACCATCTACTGTGAACTTGAAGTATTGAATTTAGCACCATTAACTGTGAACCATAGGTATAAAATACATGTATAGCAATATTTACCATGAATTAGATATACTGAATTTACCACCATTTATTTTTGAAATTGAGATACTGAATTTTGCATCATTTAGTGTGATTTGGAGGTATCAAATATAGCAATATTTAATATATACAAGGATATTATAAGTGACTGTATTTATGCCACTGATTACAGATTTGACGTCATAATGTAAATATATTTCACAATGACCATTTCATTTTATGCAGAAGATATTATCATAATAGATGTAGCCTCACATAAATCAACGTTCAACCAATATTTATGACTGTAAAATGTGTTTCAATTTGTATTAATATGTATAGGAATAATTTGTATATATATAAATGTTTCATGTAACAGTGGATCCTCGTTTTTGTGTTGATAATATATGTTTATTTGAATTGCGAACTTAGTCTACTAAGCTGTAAATGAGTATGTTGTTGGGCAGTGCTAGAATTGTCGAATGCTACAAAGTGTAGCTTTGAGCTCCGAAATGGCAGCACTGGCTGTATGCTCCCCAGGGAGTTGAGAAAGGTATTGGCTTGTTGCAAAGGCCCTATAACCATGGATAATAATTTGTGAACCGCTTTGAGACGACCTACAAACTAGGTTGTGATAAAGCAGTATATAAGAACCTCAAATTATTATTTTCTTATGAACAAAAAACCCACCAGCTTTTGCTTCTGCTATCCATTCTTGATGCTTTACCTACGGTTTTCACTAATATAACAAAATCAGATGGCTTCTGTATATAACCTTGTCAAAATATTAAAAAATAAAAAGAAGATTTTTGTACCCTTAGTTTTTGAGAGCCTGAATGTTGGAAACACCAAAAAAGTTTTTGGCCAAATCTTGTATTTATATCAATATTTCTATCATCCTACTGAACATTTACTTGAACGTTTCCATTAATTGTTCCAATTTTATGCTAATATTTCAATTGTAACTTGTCTGGTATTAATCCTGTGTGATATGTTCTATCAATAATTTTCTTTCCATTTTGCAAAAGCAAGTAAAAAAATAGAAAATATTTAAAAAAAAACAAACAGGATTTATTTTAGTTTCAAATGGTAGCAATGGTCAAATAGCAGTTAACACTGTAGATATTTAATGTAAAGACCTGCTTTCAGGTATGAACTCATTCACCCCTGAAGACACATTTGAACTCTTCCAATTCATAGGTTGGAATAGTTCATTATGAAATTTCATGGGTGAATGAGTTAAAACTTTTTTCTTTCTAGATAAGTATGAACAAAAATTGACAAAAAAAGACATGAAGGCTATATGCTAGCAACAGAAAAAAAATATTTGAAAGTCATTTGAGTTGCAGCAGTGTCATGACAAAATCACATCAACTCATTCACCTCCTGAAGACACATTTGAACTCTTCCAGTTCAAAGGTTGGAATAGTTCATTATTAAATTTCAGGGGTGAATGAGTTAATCAAAACTATTTAATATATTAGACATTCGTTGTTAAAGATTCAGATTAACATATTAGGAGAAACTTGAGCAATAGATTACACTTTTTTCTTCTTTTACAAAAATCACCCCAATACATTCTAAAATAAATAATCATCTTCGCTAGTAAATTATAAGATCTTGTTAATCACCATGACAGTTAAATAAAAATCAAACAAGATGGGTGAGAATTAACTAACAATGGAGCTGGATACAAGTGGTTTATGTACCGGTAGGCGTGGAGCAAGGCTAATTAAGGTCTTATCCACTGCTAGCGTGCCTTCACTTCTAAATAAAGGACTGGTATCACTGAGTATGTTACCATAATTGTAGATATGATGCCACACCCCTCATTATTTCACAGGTTTACTGATATCTATATCATTATATTACCCTGGGGTATATCTAAAGAAATGTTGAGGGCCATGCCATTTGAACAATGTTTATCTGTCATTCCAACATTGATTAAGTATTCGAACCTAAAATAGAATCCCGTTTACTACGTGTATGGGATATATAGTACATATTGTATGTTGGAAATATTCTCAATATTGAGAAAGCTATTTGTAACAAGAGCCCTACAGGGCCTTTATCATTGACCTGATTAAATTTATCTTAACTAAAAAGAATATGTAAAAATTTGCCTTGCAGTATGAAGCAATGGCGGTCATTGTTGATTTCTTACAAACAATAACATTACATTGGACAGGGTCAGATTTTTAGAGGTCATCGAGTGTAAGTTTAGAAGAAGTTAGAAATGTGTCAACCAATTAGAGGTCAAAGTTGTCATTTCATTTGATTAAGAAAACTACAATATTAGTTATCTCTGGGTTAGGAGGGGTCTACGGGCTCATAGACCCCGTCTGGTTTTTATAGATTATAAATTTGTGACAACAAAACACTTATAACAATGATGTAGCCTTAGAATAGATAGCCATTTACCATTTTTTTGTCTACATATGATTAGTTTTAAGTTCGAATAGTGCCAGAAAACGTAATTCAAACTCAAATGTTAGTGTTTTGATAACGTTTTAAAAAAATGGTGCGACGACTCTGCATTCTGTTTTGGACTATAGGAATAAATTTACACTATAGAAATACTTTTTGTCATCTAAATTCTTAAGGTCATTATAAAATGTTAATATGCAGACAAAAAAATATTCATTTGAAATGTAGGATACTGCAAAATTCAAGCCTTGATCCGATTAGGGTCCTGGTGATGATGGTTTGGTGATCCGATTTGGGTCACCTTATTTGACTGCTACCAAAATAGCCCCTACCGGACATCTTTTTGGCAACATTTTGGACAATACACAACCATCTTTGTAATTAGCACCCTAGTGGCACCCCTCATTGCCTGTTTCGTTAAATTTGCTGTCAATTAAGTAGGCTATTTTATCCTGTGAATGATTGGCACACCTCGAACGCTTGTGTGTGTCGGACGCCATCTTTGTTATTATGAAGAGGGATTCTAGTTTCAGTGATCTCCCCTCGCACATGCTTTTGTAGACACCAGCAGAGCAGGGTCTATAGAAATATAGACCCCAGCAAGATATCCAATCAGAACACTGATTAAGGGGCATGACATGATTATGATCATACTGTGTTCGGTCAGTATAACCATGATGTTTATCTCTGGTTTTCATTTATTCAAAACTTTTGGTCAGAACTATGAAAGCAGGTTTGTCACACTTGTACGTGTCTGGATGACAGTTCAGAAGAAGTCAAGAAAGTCTTGGCCAATCAGAGAACAGGGTGGCCATTTTCGATTTTAAATGAGCCTGAAAATAACTTTTAAATCAACCCAAAAAGTAACAAGCAAATTCATGGAATTTATATCCCCTCTTGCAGGACATATTGCATAATATAATACGGAACTTGGTTGAAACATCTAAACAATATCTACAGCATTTATCACACGAAAACCAAAGAGTGCCCGAGATGGTTGGAAAGACATAGGAACACAAACATTGTTATCAAGTTTGAAGGAATTTGGTTAATATTTGCAAGAGTTATAAAGCGGAAACTGCAAATAATGACGTTTTCCTTTATTCAAGGGGCCATAACTCCGCAAAATGGGGTCCGCTGAAAATGGTCATCGAAATTGGCCGAGCCCTTAAGGCATTAAACCTTGTGACCAAGTTTGAAGAGAATCAGTTGATATTTGTTGAAGTTATGGCACGGAAACAAAACGCAGCAGATAATGACATTTTTCGTTATTCAAGGGGCCATAACTCTGCAAAATTGGGTCTGCTGAAAGTGGTCATTGCACTTGGCCAAGCCCATCAGGCTTTTTAACCCTGTGACCAAATTTGAAGAAAATCTGTTAACATTTGTTGTAGTTATGGCACAGAAACGAAACGCAGCAGATAATGATGTTTTTCATTATTCTAGGGGCCATAACTCCATCAAATGGGGGTCCGCTTAAAGTGGTCATTGAACTTGGCTGAGCCCTTAAGGCATTTAACCCGGTGACCAAGGTTGAAGAAAATCGGTTAACATTTGTTTATGTTATGGCATGGAAACAAAACGCAGCAGGTAATGACGTTTTTCGTTATTCAAGGAACCATAACTCCGTCAAATGGGATCCGCTTAAAGTGGTCATCAAACTTGGCCGAGCCCTTAAAAAGACATTTAACCCTGTGACCAAGTTTGAAGAAAATCGGTTAACATTTGTTGAGGTTATTGCACGGAAATGAAGCGTGACAGACAGACAGACAGACGGACAAACCCAAATTAATATCCCCTGTTTCGGTGAAAGCGGGGGATAATAACACTTAAGAGAAAACGATGAGATTATCATTTGCAACTAGCTTTATGTTTGGAAAATGAACAGATTTTTTTCCCCTTGGTCGAGGTATATTTATACCTAATTCAGGTGCAATCTGTCCAGTTAAGGAAAATGTTACCATGTCATCAGTTACTACATGTAGTAAAATCTCATTAAAGTTTTACTCAGGTTTTTTTTTTACTAGAAATTTTTCTTATATATAGAACATGAAGCAACCTAATAAACTTCATTCTGACATGATAAGAGCTTATGCTTTTGCTAGCATTCAACAACTTATGTCATGAGCTGTTTCTAGTACAAAATCGAACAATAAAACAACCTTATCATATCAAATTTATTTGTTTTTGATCTGAGAAAAAAAAAAAAGAATAGAGAAATACATTGTGCATGGTCTTTCGCTTCTAACAGTTAATTCATATTTAATAAAAAAATGTAGGAGCATAGCTGTGACTTTGAGTAACAAAATGTGCTGTGTTAATAGTGTAGGGGGGGATTCCCAGAGTGCGAAATGACGTCAGAGAAACAATGGATTAATATAGGCAGCCAATGGGTGGTGTTGTATGCGAAGGTTGTCCATACTTTGCAGAAATCATATATTTCTTCAGCTATGACTATATTTATTTCAAAATTATGAATTAAGACTGGGGTTCAGATTTGGATATGAAAAGAAATATTCAAAATGGTGTAGGATGCTAATGGTAAACGTAACAGAAAAACTGAAATATCAAATTCATCGGGATGCAATTTCCCATTGACTGCAAAAATATTTTTCAAAAAAACTTGAAAAATGAAAAAGTGAAAAAATTGTTGACCTTTGACCCGACAGGAAGGATTTTAATTGGACATTTTTTCTAATAACATGTCATCAAAAAGGTCAGCTCCAAGGATATCTTAATTTTTTTTAATTACATCATCATGAATGCTATAGAATGAATGGTTTTTGAGTTATGGCCATTTGAAGATTAACATATGACATCATGGTGGCCATATTAGATTTTTGACGTACTTGAAAATATTTCAATAACATCTTTCAATTATGACCAATAATATATCTCAAAGACTTTGAAAATGTCTGCTACCAATCAGTGGCAATAAAATTATGGCAGAAGAATAATAGTTCAAAGAAAAAGCAGTGGAACAAAAACAATAGTTTTTTTCACATTGGTGTAAAGTCCTAAATATATAGGCTCTTACATGAGTTTCCATTTCATATGAGATTTATGAAACGAGTCTTAAGAATTTTTCATTTTAACAAGCCTCTGGAGAGCTAGAATGAAAAATTAGTGACTAGTTTCATAAATTTCATATGAAATGAAAATGAGTGCAAGATTCTTTTTATCACATAATCAAGATTTGTGGCATTTATTCCTGTAAAACAACAATTTTCTTGCAACCTTGAAATGTAAAAAGCTGACAGTTTGACTCCAGTACATAATTCTGTGACGTCATTTACTTGTCCTAGGCGTGACGTCACAATTGAAACATTTCAAACTTACAACCAATCACAGGGCTGACAGGTCATATGACATGTATATATTCACTGCATGACAGTACATAATGTGATAAAAATGTACTCCCAAGATATTCGCTGTTCACTCACATCAAGGTGTATCAGCCATTTTCTAGGTTTGTGTTCTATAATCTTGGTAAGTGAATAGATGTGATATATAATTTGACTATGGGAAGCCATTAAACAACTGCTTCATTACATCATAGACAATCCTATCAGATAGGTTTTTTAACGTCTTAACAGAGCAAGATCAGACCCAATTTGCTGTGACGAAAGTTCAGATGTACCTTTATCAACGTTACGTTTTGAAAATCCTCCAAAACTACAAAATACTTTTCTGTGTACTTTAACTGTAATTCTCTGCTAAAAACTGACCCGAATTGTTCACCGTATTTGATAGTTTGGTCTGGGTTTTTTTTATGTTTTACGTCCTATGAACAGCTATGGTCATTTAAGGACATGCCATGTTTTGATTGTGGAGAAAAGCTTGAGTTCCTGGAGAAAAACCACCAACCTATGGCCAGTACCTAGCGACTGCCCCACGTAGGTTTCGAACCAGCGACCCAGTGGTGGAGGCCTAGTGGTAGCAGAATGTTAGACGCCTTAACCA